TGTCATTTGGAAAAGAAGACGAGAACAAAGCTTTCTTTCTTTCTTTCTTTCTTTCTTTTTTTGTCTTGTTCTTATATACTTGAAGATTTTTGTAGGAAACCTTTGTGTTCTTTTAATCTCCCTGTCATTCCTTGGTTTCTACCTGCCTTCTCAACCTGATTCACAAAAGGAGCCTTCATCTRCAATTTGTGTTTGGTAGATTATTTTATTGTAACAATGCTTCTTGTTAATAAAGCTTACAGCTGATTGGCAGCACATGGGGGTACCAGAAGTGCAAAAAAAGAGTCAATAGCAACAGCAAAATAAGCTGTCTGACAGAGATTTGGCAATTCTTTTATGTGTGCAGCCCAAATAATCATCTCTACTGCTCATCCCACAAATGCATGTTCCTTACAAATCTGGTACCATTTAAAAGGGAACTTAAGAGACTTTCCAATGGTATAAGATTTATTGCCAGGAAGCATTGTTACAACAAGGAAATAATCTACCAAACTTTAAATTTACTTATGTTTTGTGCTAAGTTTAAATAAAGACACTGGTCACCTTTAATGTTGTCCTTGTTTGCGTTCCTTTCAGGCTAAGCTGGAAAYCTTACTTTTAAAAGTGAGATAAAAGTGCTTTGATACTTTAATGTCAGARTATCTCTGAGCATGAGCACTGTGCATAAAAACTATGGAAACACTATATTTGTGTGAGCGAAGTTCAGACATCTTTCCCCACAGATTTAAAACCGTACTTGAACGAACGGACTGCTGGAGACAGAATGAAGGGTTAGACTGTGGAAGGTAGCAAAGCTGTACAATAAAAATACGACAAAGCAAAGCATGAGTTCAAAGTGAAAGGATGAGGGAGACAAATGTGACAGAATAAACAAGCGTCTATTTCTTCGTCCCCCTCCTGTCCTGCCCCCTCCCCCTCCCAGCCTACCCGCTGCATGCCACAGTGACGGTGGTGGTGACTGGGGTGGTGGGGTGGGAGGTACAGGGGAGGGGGGGTCTCAGTGCTGGCTAAGGACAGATCATCCTGGCTGTGGAGCTCCATCTCCCTCATCACCTGCGCCTTCAGACCCCCGTACAGCTGGCTGCAGTGCTGCAGGCTCCGCCTCCTCCATCGCTGGGTGTTGTCGCTGTCCTTGCTCACACCGAACCAGTCAGCTGTACCCCTGTGGGCAAGGACACACTTTGATTAAAGGAAAATAAGAATATATTGATGATTGAGTTGGGAGTTTACAGTGCATTAGAACATCTCTGGAGTCAACTAAGCAAGACTCAGAAACACGCTGTGGATTTTACACATTTTTACAGTTTGTAGGAGGAAAAGCTCTGGTGTGATAAAAACATAAGAAATATACTTTTTGCTGTTTGGACCATCAGCTCAGCTTCTTCCCAGCGTGTTTTTTTTTTTTTTTTTTTTTTGCTGTTTGGACCATCAGCTCAGCTTCTTCCCAGCGTGTGTTTTTTTTTTCTTGTGACTGAACTCTAAATCCTTCTTTAATATTCTAATAAATTCCTGAAAATGATTTGATGTAACCCGATGCCAGAAAACAACGGTGCACTCTAAAAATGAAATGTTGGATTTAATTAACCATGTTATGTTACCTGGTTCCACCTAACTGAGTTGAGTAAACTCAAAGCAACATACTCATGTTCTTTGGCTAAAAAACTGGTATATTGCTTTGAATTTACTCAACTCAATTAAGTGGAACCAGGTAACATAACATGGTTAAGTAAATCCAACATTTCATTTTTTACTGTGTGTATGGAGAATGAAAACCAAAATTTTACTTGTAAAAATAAACAACAGAATAAATAAGTTGGTAATTTTAGGAGGATCTTAATTGAATTGAATTGCTTAATTGAACAAACCTTTACTAATTTTTATTTTCCTCAGCATCTAATACTCCTGATTTACCATGAAGCACCTTTTACCGCTCATATCACCTCTGAACTCGTGTGTTTTCACAATAATCCAGAGATTTACATTTGGCTTGAGACCAAAAAAAGAGTAAATTATATAAGAAAATAAGTTTTTAGAAAACCATTTTTCTAAGCATAAGTAAAAGCAAAAGAGAGCAAAKGAGCACCAGGAATGGTGTGAAAATACAAAGAAGAACAATATTCTCTAAAATAAAATATAAATAGTTTTTATAACCATCAGAGGCTCTACAGGGAGAAATTAAGTAGACAGAATTTTTTAATCTTAGTAGCTATAAAATATTGTACAATAGCGTTTACCTACATCTACAATTCTTAATGAAGCTGTTTTTCCTTTCTTTGCTTATAATAAAGAATAAAGAGCAGATGAATTGACTAGCTGCAGTTGTATGATTGAACATAAAGATCTCTTGTGCAAAAAAGCAACATTGAGCTTTTTAAGTAACTAAACATTCGTCTTGGAGAAAAAAACATTTTAATCAGTCAATCTGAATGTTTAACTTTAGCAGTCATAATTTTTGTAACTGTAACTAGTATTTAGTTACTGAAGTTAAAATACGCTATAACCACTTTTTTATTTCCAAAGCTGCATATCAAAAAAAGGTAAAGGTAAACACAGCTGTGGTATCAGAATGAGGCTCAGAGCTGATTGGCTGAGTCAAGTCAATCAATCGCGTGTACCATGGACAGGTGGGACATGAGGGGCTTGCCACACATTTTGTGCTCTGGAGTGTCTATAGARGAACCCAGTTGGTCAAAAGKGATGTCAGTCAAAAGAAGACAACCAATCGAATTGTCTGAACAACTTYTTGTGCAAATTCAAAGTCCCTGATAGCGTGGGTCAGGCTTTAAAGAGGGAGGAAATAATCACAAACTGGGAATGTACAGCAGGCAGTACACTGAGGGTTAAGAGGTTAAAAATCAGCTTTACACTTTTTTGTTTCATTTAGTTCTCTACTTTTACTGCCTCATTCAATGTAACTGCATGTTAGATGCTTCGCTTRTGATCTGAAAAACCTTTTTCATTCAAGCAAGGAAAAACTGTGGTGTTCCAACTTGTGTAACCACATTTAACTCCCATGCAAACCATTTTCCTTCTCATCTTTCCCATGGGGCATTGTTGGCCTATTGCACGTGCAAAAAAAATGTGGTCACATGCATTAAGGTGCAACAGTCTGAAACTGACACTGCTGTCCTGCGGACATTCAGTCTTCAACCAATTKTTTGGATAAGAAACAAATTGTCTTCAAAATCCAAAAGAAGTCCAGTTGCCTTTGTTTGATACTTGGGTCAAAATATCCTGGATGGCTGAGAAGCTGCACCAGCTTTACGCACAAGTTTTCCATCAGCTGATGCCTTATGTTCCCACTGCTAATCAGCTAACATGATCATTTTCACACAATAAATGAGCATTATTAAAATCCCTCTTTTCATGAAATAGCAACTATGAGCCAGGCTGCATGTTATTCTCTCAGGAGGATCAGGAGGAGGCCACACTTATAGGGACTGTTTAAAAAGGAGAACATTCAGAAATAAACAGCGAGCCCTCGTCGTGGAGAACAAATCCAGCTGGAGAAGCCTTTTAGGGCTGAGCAGGGGCAGGCTGGAGGCGGCACAGCCCCGATTCCTTCCCTGAGGAATGTTTCTGAAAGAGCAAACAGGTTGCTCAAGAGAGCACACAGCACGGATAAAAGCTTCGGTTAACCACTTAAATTGGTCCAACTATCTTCTAGTTTTTTGTTTTTATGCAGAAAAACATACTTTGCTGTGCTGTAATTCTAAATTTATACAGAACAGGGGGCCAAGGGGCCCAAAGGGCAGTGCCTTTACTATCTAAACACAAGATGCAACAGGACAAATAAGGAGAGAAGCAAACATGATTACCATCTGCACTAATAACAAATGTTTACTCCTCTAATCCAACGTAACTCACATTTAGCACCAACTCAAAAAAGGTCTGGTTTTATCTACAGAGAGAGAATTATATGGACTCCTACATATTTGTAGTTAAAGAAGCAGGAGTTTAAACAAAAATAAAACATTTCATAGAAACATTTAAATTATCTGAATAAAACATTGACACATACAGAACTTTAAGACAGAGGAGAAACACAATTATGATACTGTAGTTAATATGCAAGATAAATACTGCACTTTTATAACTTGATTGGCATATTTTTTATATAATTTGTTATGACAGCATAATATACATTATTAATAATTATAAACATGAAAGTGTAAGTTGTGCATTTTAACAATCTAAGAATTTTATTTTAAGCAGCTATATTTGATGGATGCTGGTTAATTCAGCTTAGACACTTTGTACCCKACACTAATCATAGCAGGTGACACACTCAAGCTTACCTATGAGTATCCATAGATTACTGTATTCTTTTCCAGGGTTATTACAGTAAAGTTAGGTTTTTGACAAGAGTTTATTTCAAGGTTAGTATGATCAACAAAAGGTATGCTAATTTAAAAGCTGGAATACAAAGAGCCAAGGGTCTTAGATTAACYAGTTAGTGGAAACATTAGCCTACTACAAATTACAAATTATTACAATAGATTCAATTATCCKTGCTGCAGTTATGAAGCAACCCATGGCAGGTGACCTCTTTTCATACCCACAAATGTATGTCTGGTGACCACAACTGTGAAAATACAAAGTTGTGAAAGTTCAAAATAACCCAGAGTTAAGTTTGATCCACCTTGTTTAACCACACTCCAGTGCACAAGCTGAAACATTCAATTCAAGTTCATGTTCCAATCTGCTGCATATTTTGATCTTTATAGTAACTTTGAGGAAAAAAAAAATAAAAAAAAATTCCCACAAACGTGTTTTTTTTTTTTTTTACAAAATGCAGCATTTTTACTTTTAGACTAATTTTAGTTACACAGCTACTTTCATTTGGAGGAAAAGATCAACAGTTTTATGAAATCCACTGCTTTGCAGTCAGAAACACCAACTCAACAGAGCAAATAGAGCAGCTGCTTCCCCATTATCTGACTTAAAGCCATGTATAATCATTTATTTATTGTAAGAGTTTTCTCGTTCTAATTTTATTGTTTTAGTTACATGCTATGCTAAGAAAAAAAAGAAAATAATTGTTACATTCTACTCCKCCTTGCTCAACTTTGAGTTGGTTTCGTCCGACTCATCTGAACACCTGCAGCTGCCTCGCTACTGGAGATAAGATTTAAGGCTCTTTTAAGGGAACTAGATCTTGAGGATCTGTTTGTTTCAAAGAGTTAATCAGTTTTAAATGGTTGGTGATGTCCTTACATATGGTTCTTGTCYCTACATTAGTGCTGGGCGACATGACCAAAATTTTATATCTTGGTATTTTTAACAATTGTACTGATATCACTGTATTTAATGGTATTTGACTTCTCATGCTGTGAGTGTTAGGGAGTACCTCTGGCAAACGTGTCTGCAAAGGATGCTTTTATTAACCTTTTTGTGACCAACCAAATACCACTGAGATCACACTTCTCTTTTGCAAGAGAAGACACTCGAGACGATAACTTAACATATGTATGTTTTTTGTCGAGCACAAGGAGACTCCACACAGAAAGACCCCAGGTCCAAACTGTAAAATTGAACCCAAGACTATGATGCAGGGCTAACCACTGAGACGTCGTGCTGCCGGTTCTGTTTGACTCGAGCGTCATCTTGAAGCTCTTCCAGTTTTGGATGTGGAAGGTGACAATTTTAGTTTTAAACAGTCTCGGTGTTCKAAGACATGTTTGAGGCTCAGGTGATGGAGCGAACTGTTTGTGTTACCACTAGCCACAACAATTTTAAATCTACATAGTTTGCAGAAGCTGCACTTTTAAAGCTATAGTACTTCCACTCAACAGAAACAGCCTCGTCTTTCAGCACAAGTTCTTCTTGGGCATCACCCTCAACTCCTACGTAGCGCCGCTTCTTTTTCCATACTTTGTGTCCGTCTCTACCAAGCTCATCACCTCCAACAACGACACTAGTTTGCCTTAAGGTGCTATATTTCTTGCATGTCAGCTGCGCAGCAAGGAAATTTGTTCCCTGTGAAACAACTTAATGGTGCGCGCAACATTCTGAAAGTTGTTCAGATTGTTTAAACTGCTAAGTTGGRATATGGAAAATTCATGTCATAACAAAAATAAAAACAATTTTTGTACAATCTGCCAAGCTCTCTGCTACGTATGATCATCGTTATTGATGTAGGGTGTACGTAGTGACATAAGGACTGTGCCGCCTGATTTGTCAAGCACGCAACTCCGCCCCTTCCTGACCACCTGTTCCCAATATACAACAACTGCTGCGCTCCTCCCATTTTCCTGTTTTCTTTCGTCTGAGTGGAAAAGCGAAGAGGGACCATGTGTGGGTCCATATCTGAGGAATAAAATGAGAGGAACTCACCAGCAGGAAAAGATTAAAAAAGGAAAAAGAGGATAAATCCTACATTTTACATTAATCCAAACCAATTCAATAATAATTTTTCATGTATTGCACTCTGATCTTGTTCACCACAGCTCACGTTACCTGTCCTTAGAGCTCCASGAGGGGTTCAGGATCCAGGTCATACCTGCCTGGGGTGGGTACTCCAGAGGTTAATCAACTCCAACAGCAGCATCACTAACACAGTAACCCTACTTACACCCTGACCCGCAATAAAACTCTGAGCCGCTGATTCCAAGCTGATCCGTCACAAATTACACATCCAGAGTTTCAGAAGGGGATTTCATGGTATCCAGGCCAGCGGTACCTTGCTGTTACACAAACAGAGGAGGATCAACATTTGTCCAGACAGTGCTAAACTGCTCTGTCATGCCTGGAAAGGTCCTGGGTGATCAAAAATTGAAAGTTAGAGCTGATCCTCTCTGTCAGACAGGAATCTGACTTGTAGGACAAACATCCTGATGTCAAACGAGATCTGCTTCCAGTTCCCTTCCAGCTGGACTTGCTCAATGACAGCGAGACAAGCAGGAGGATCTTCCTGAACGTGTCGCCTTCGAGCACACAACAGAGGTTTCTATCGCACTGTGGATGTGTAGGAGAGCGTGAATGTGTCAGAAGTTGGCCCAAAGTCAAAAACARCAGTTTTTCTCTGAAAGCCCGGCACGCCACAGGAAACAGAAGCTTAGAGGGACGGGCTAAAGAAAGATCATCGTACACATTAGGAGGGTGGAGAGTTGGACCAGGGCACTCAGACATGTCTGAACATGACACAGCCTCACACACAAACATTAGAGTAGCCGTGCCTCAAAGCTAACACTATGCGTGTAGTTTTGAACATTTACGTCAACACTCGCTGGAAGAAGTGGTCTGTTAAGTCTGAACACCTATAATTATGACCATCTTTGTGACTAAACAGTAAATCATTTATCATTTAAATCTGCAGCCTGATCTGTCAAGGTGAATGGCTCTTTAACAAGAGCAATGACTCATAATGTGTTTTAATCTTCCTGCAGATCAACAAGGCATCTTCCCACATACACGAGACACGAGCTTTGTTTGAAGAGTAAAAACTCATCCTGGCCTTTTGAACTCTCTTCAGGAGAACACATTAAAGCAAACTTTAGTGGAAACTTCAAGGAGTAAACATGCTAAAATGAACCTATTCATTATTAGGCAATAACATGGTTAAATTTGATATTCCCTCACACTTAATGTTTATTGTCACGTTTGGTGTTATAAGACAATTGTAAATGATAAATGGTAAGTGAACTGGATATATAATGTCTTTCTATCCAACCAGGTTACTCAAAGCACTTTACACTACAATCTTCATGGCAATCTTAATCTTCAAAGCAAAGTCGTTTTTTTTTTTTTTCCACCTCTCTTGTACCTGATGATCTGTTTGGGTATAGACGAACGCCGTCTGGCCAGTATTTTGGGGATGCAGGACCTCCTACGGCAGGTTGACACCCTCATCGAACCCCTCTGGCCTTTTGGGGGAACTGTGTTGACACGATCAAAGCGCACTCTTTTCTCACTACAGCCACGTTTGGGATAAGAAAATAGCAGGGGAGAAAGAAGGTGGTAAATAAGGCAAAGGAAAGCAAGGAAAAGAAATAAGAAACAGCTAGATCATTTGTGTTTAATGAAAAGTAAAGCTTGAAACACTTATGCTGAAGGTTTATATGCGTGAAGGATTTKTTAGTTAGTTAGTACACATGCAAAATTGAAAGAGAAATTAGAGACAGGAGAAAATAGAACTGAAAAATGCAGCGATTGTGTGGATGTGTTCCTAACCTCTTGACGGACTGCATGAAGGGTGATCTCTCTGGTTGAGGTTTGAGGTAGATGTTGGAGGTTTCCAAGGCAGCAGTGTGTGTCTGTGGATTTTCCCCTGGCATGCTGACGCTGCGCACACGCTTCACTGGCTACAGCACATAKAGACACAAAGAAATMGTCAAAGTTTTTAGAAGTAACTSATCATATGGARACAGCTCCACCATTCAGGCTTCAGTGCTGCACTCCACCTGACTGAGCGGCGACGTGTCGTCCGGCGTCAGCTGAATGGTCGGGATGTCCAGTTTGAGCCACGGTGGTTTTTTTCTCTGCAGGCTGCTGGTCCMGCTTCCTGTCTCATCCATGCCCACTGCCGCCTTCTAAACCTGCCAGCTTGACAAAACAATAGTGATGAGATTTATTGAGCAATAACTAACTGTTGCAGATATAGTTCAGACACAAACAGATCTGTTACAGCCAGAGATGCAGTTTGTTTTAAAGGGATCCCTGATTAGTTGTAACATTAGACTTTATTTGATAAACATATATTTTAACTGTAAAAGAAAGACTGTAAAAATACTGTAGGCTGTTTAGTTTTGTAAAATTTTCAAAAATATATTTTAACACGGACAGAGCCATTTTATTTACACGCAAAGCATTCTGGGTAAATGATGACGTGGATAGGTCCTTGGTGTGAGTGAGCTATATCCACCCTGAAGGTTAAWCTCGGAAAATATCTGATGATCGACTCTTTTAAATGAAACCAGAGAGCGTTGACAGAGAGGAGAAGGTAGAAATGACTCAGCCTGTAACTGAAAATATAGATGGAGGACAACAGAGCTGCTTCATGGAAGAAGAACCTCAGCTTAGCCTGTTAGCCTTTGCGCTAGCGCAGATGCTATATTGCCTTATATGTATTAGCTCAGCGCTAAATTAACAAACTAACAAGATAAACTGAGGTCCTCCATCTATATTTTCAGTTCAGGCTGAGTCATTTCTACCTTCTCCTCTCTGTCAACGCTCTCTGGTTTCATTTAAAAGAGTCGATCATCAGATATTGTCCAAGATTAACCTTCAGGGTGGATATAGCTCGCTTGCAGCCTTGCACTGAGGACCTATCCATGTCATCATTTACCCAGAATGCTTTGCATGTAAACAGAATGGCTCCATCCGTGTAATATATTTTTAAACTTTTACTTTAAAAATTATAAAAATTAAACAGCCTACAGTATTTTTACAGTCTTTATTTTACAGTTAAAATATGTTTATCAAATTAAGTCTAATGTTACAACTAATCATGGATCCCTTTAAGAAATTATTTTTATCTAATAGAACACTGAACTTCTGTCCAAAACACTTTGTATTTTGCCTTGTGATATTTCTGTTGTGCTGTATTGATATTCCAAGGAGAGTACATTTAACTTTTCATAAGAAAATAAAACATTCAACATAAACTGACTTTACCCAGAAATACAGCATGTTGCAGTAGGAAGATGTAAATGCACCACTAACATAGCAGCAGGTGTTTAARGTGAGGCTTGAACTCACAACCTTGACATCACTAAGCTGGTTGCTGTCATAAGTACTGCATGCTAACCAATTGCACCACTGGAGCTTAGGTGCTTTTTAAATAATTGGAAATAAAAACAAAGTGGATTTAATTTTCTGCTCAAAGGATGCATTTTAATTCTTCCACCACCCGAACCACCTCAACTGGTTACTCTCCATGTGGAGGAGTTCTACTCTGAGGTAGATAACTGAACTTTTCACTCTATCTCTACAGGTGAGTCCAGCTACCCTGCGGAGAATACATATTTTGACTGCCTGCATCCACGATCTTGTTATTTCGGTCACTAGATGTAAATTAGGGATATTAATTAGGAGAAATACCTTTTTTAACAGTCTGGTTGGAATGGGATCTAGCACATATGTTGATGCTTTGATGAAGATATTATTTTTGACAATTCAGAGAGCTCGTGCGATAAATAATGTGCAGTTCTGGCTTTACAAAGGACTTTCTTGTATGTTAATTTGTGCCGGCAAGAATCACAACCAGCGACATGAACAACAATCTTACCATACTTACGTAGCTTACCATGAAGAGAATGAACAAATGTTTAATCTTTAAAAATGCTCAAAGTGCGGCTTGAACTCACAACCATCACTTAGCTGGCTACTGTCTTACAAGCACCGACCAATTGTGCAGCCCTTACTGAAATCTTTGAAATCAATTTTCTGCCACATGACATTTTACAAGTTATTGTTTTCTTCACAAAGAAATTTCCATCCATCCATTATATTTTACCCACTTCTTCCATTTAGGWTCATGGGTGTCACTGGTGCCTGTTACATCCTATGTGGTGTAACTACAAAGAGATGAGTCTGATAGGAACTTCATACTTCTTTTTTTACCTCAACAGCAACAGAACATACAGGTTCTTCAGTTCTCCCTGTTTTTTACAATGCTTATTGCCTTGCTTACGTACATACGTCTCAACTACGGTGTCTCGAAATGACCAAAATACATAACAGTGCCCATTTCCAAAAGTCATTATGTGAGGGGTGGGGTGCACCCTGAACAGGCTGCAAGTCCATCTCAGGTCCAAATAAAGACAACCATTCACACCTACAGACAATTTAAAGATCTCAATTAATCTAACAGTCATGTTGCTGGTCTATGGGAGGAAACCGGAGTGCCCAGAGAAAACCCACACATGCACGGAGAGAACATGAAAACTCTACTCAGAGAGGACCTGGACAGGATTTAATCTGGCAAACCTCTTGCAGAGAGGCAACAGCTCTACCAACTGAGCCACCACAGTGCCCAAATGGTCATCCTAAAGATGCAGTTTTATTTAGATGAAGCAGCAAGGCAAAACCCAACACTTTTACCTGCTTTCAATTTTCACAGTATATTATATTATCCCTGCCTGAGAATGGTGCAACTGGGGACCATTACCACAGACATGAATAAGAATCTTACTAAACTTAACCTTGGCTCGCAGTTTTGAATAGAATTCAGTTGTCACCCTCTTAGGGGACTCTACGTTATCTCAATCAAATTAAGTTAGATGCAGTTTGACTAAAATACAACATCAATCTAGCTTAGCGTTAAGAGACACAAAAATGTATGTTTTAATCTTGAAATGAAGGCCCAGAACTGGTCTAGGTGAGGCTTGAACTCACAACCTTGGCATCACTAAGCTGGTTACTGTCTTATAAGTACCATGCGCTGTCCAATTGTGCCACTAGAGCTTGATATTGTGTAAACAAGAAAAATTTGAAATTGAGTTTTTACTGTTTTCTTTCTAAAAAACTGTTTGCCCTAAAGCTGCAATTATTGTCAGGAGAAACAGCAACCCAAAACCTGATTAATTTCAGTAAATAACAGAGGTGCACTGACTGCAGTTTTCTGAGTGATCACTGATCTTTAAAAACTCTGACCTGCCGATTCCAATTTTGGCTTATACAGCTTTTTAAAATAATAACACTGTCATGTATTATAAGGTCACAATACACCTTCAATGTTCCAATCTTATTTTATTGAAAAACTTAGACAATACCCTTGAAATAATACAAACTTGTTTTAACTGGATATTAGGCAGTGCTTACAGCAGAGCAAAAGTGGATAATTTTCTGAKATGTAGATGAAAAGCTGATTTTTTTCTACCTACCTTATCTAAATATTGGCCAATTTCCAATTTCCCAAAATTAAGCAAATCCATGCTGATAAATTGGCTGGCTGGTTTACCTAATTATCCAAAATAACAGACTAATTAAAATAGTTAAAATTAGGTTTTAATATAATAGTAGTCTCAAACCCCTCCACAGAATTGCTACCTTAATGTGATGGAGGGGTTTGAATACCTCCTTGATCCTGGAGGCTACGTTGTCTGAGGCATTAGCCCCTGGTAGGGTCTCTCAGTGCAAACAGGCCTCTAGGGAGGGGTCAGATTAAGAGCCATTCAGAACTCTTGATGAAATGGAAGATCAACCATGTCAGAAAACCTTGGCCTGAAAGGAGAAACCTGTGTACCACCTTGGAGCCAGGCCTGGGGGAGAGCTTGTCGCCGAGTGCCTGGTGGTTGAGTCTTGTCTCCTGGGACTTGGCTGGGCCAAGCCCGAAATGACTACAGGAGGCCATCACCACATGGACTCAACACCCGCAGGGAGAGCCATCAAGGTTGGGTCCAGTGCATGCTGGGCAACAGGCGAAGGGGGTCACTGTCCATGCCGATTCATGGTCGCATAGATTAGCTCTAGGTACGTGGAACATAACCWCACTTGAGGGTAAGGAGCCGGAGCTTGTGCGGGAGTTTGAGCGTTACCAGCTAGATATAATTGGGCATACTTCTACTCACAGCTTGGGCTCTGGAACCCAATGCCTGGAGAAGGGATGGACTCTCTCCTACTCTGGAGTTTTCCATTGAGAGAGAGGCATTTGGCAGGTGTGGGGATACTCACAAGCCCCCGGCTGTGTGCCTTGATGTTGGAGTTGAACCCTGGTGAACGAAAGGGTTGCCTCACTGTGGCTTCGTGTTGCACAAGAGAAGGTTCTGACTGTTGTTAGTGCTTATGCACCAAAAATCAGTTCAGATTACCCAGCGTTTTTGAAGTCTTTGGATGTTGTCCTAGAAAGGGTGCTGTCTGAAGACTCACTTGTTCTACTGGGTGGCTTCAATGCCCTTATGGGCAATGACAGAGTTATCTGGAAGGTTGTGATTTGGAGCAATGGCCTTCCTGATCTGAAACTGAATGATGTTCTGTTATTGAACTTCTGTGCCAAGCATGGGTTGTCAATAACAAACACAGTTTGAGCATAGGGTGGTCCATAAGTGTAATTGGTACCAAACCACCTTAGGCCATAGCTCGATGATCAATTTTGTAATCTTGTTGTCTGACCTGCGGCCCTATGTCTTGGATACTCGGGTGAAGAGTGGGGTAGAGCTGTCAACTGTGCACCACCTGGTGGTAAGTTTGATTAAATGTATGGTGAGGATGATACGGAAATGTCTGGTGAAGATCCCTGTCCCTGTGATCTTCAACTCTTATTTCTGGAAGAATGTTTCACATGTCCCAGGGGAGGTTGAATATATGTAATCCATATTAGACCTCTGTTGCAGATTTGGCGTTGAGGAGCTGTAGCCTGAAGGTCATCGTGGCTGTCGCATCATCAACCAAAGGACTGAGAAAGTTTCTCAGGATCCCGACTTACTTAAATGGATGTTATTAGTAATTATCAGCCCTATACAGTGTCCAGACTGTCCCCCCTCTGCCTCCTACTAGGTTGGAAGTCACTGATCAATCATTTGTATGGCTGTATGCATTCAGATGAAGTGGGTTTATCTCCTCCCCAGGACGTGGAGCTCAAGTGACCGGCCTGGCTCATGGTC